CTCCCTCTGGGCTGCGCGCCCTGCGGTTTTTGGGAGGTTTGTCATTACTTCAGGCTGGCACCTCCCTCTACCCAGGTTTCTCCTGCCCAGTCCCGAAGCCTCAGCCCAAGTCTTCCTGCAGGTGGAAGAGGCATCCCTGAGGCTGCCGAGGTGCTGGCTTTGCCCTGGGTTTCCAGAGCTGTCCACACACAGCTCACAGCACCCAGCAGGTGTGCCATGGCCGACGAGCTCTTCAACTGAAATTGTTTCCAGACTTCAGGCCTCTGGGGCCAACGCCCAGGACGTTAGTGCTTCTGGATTCAGAGCACCTGGTGCCGCGGCCGGCATACAGCAAACGCTTAATAAATGCTTACGACATACATGTAATTTGATCTTTCCTTTAGAATCTTCAGTTGGCGTGTAAGATGACTGTTCTTTATTCTAGTTCATTTTTTGCATTTCTAAAACAGAAAGTGATCATGTGTGACTTTATTCATTCATGAACAAATGACTCTGTTCGTGTGTTGACTGAAATGTGGCTTTTCGTCGCCTCTGTGGGGTGTGCAGGCTGGTCCTGGCAGTGCGTATCTGTTGACTTGTGGAAAGCTATGACCTGAGGCTGTGGGTCTGAGAGCCCCGAGCAACAGTTTCTGAGCCTATTTGTACAGCCCTCGTGTCTGAATGACAGATCCAAGGAGAAGACGTGTTTGGGGAATCTTCTGGTTTTCAAATTTTGTGGCTCACAGAACCTCCAGCTGCTCATTTTTCCAGTAAAGAGCTAAATGTCCTTCCCAAAGCCTTTCCCCATATAGCGCATCTTATTTTAACTCCGCAGGGAAGCTGGCTGCAGGGCCTCCTTGCCAGCCCTATGGGGAGGGACGAGAGGAGGGTGAAGGGCCTGGTCAGAGGTACGTGGGCCTGGAAAGGCTGCACACCATACACCTGGTCCCCAAGCAAGCACGTCTGCAGAGACATCCTGCCCACGGAGCCAGCCAGAGGCCAGACAGATCCTTCTCCTCTGGGGTGCACCTCTTTCCTCTGACCTGGCGTGCTGCGTACTCGGCAGCCATCAGCCGGGTTTACCAAGGGGTGACCGTGTGGTCCAACACACCTGAGTATGCCCTGTGGTATTTTATGATTTCAAATCACCTTTACTCTATTGGCAAAACATTTTATGAACAGCCCAGCTGACATCCATTTTCAGTTTCTTTTCTTTTAAATTCTCTACTTTTTCAAATTCAAGTTTTAAAATATGTTCACCATCTTGTCAGGCAAACTTGCATATCAGTTATACAGTAACTTGACGGTACCAGGCCCTGCTACCAGAAGAAGGTTGAGGCAACACGTTTAGTCCATGATGAAAATTTCCCCAGGCTCACACGCCTGAAAATCCACTCTTTGTGACAAGATAAAATTAAGTAAAACACTGTCTTTTATTGTAGAAGATTAAAAATGGGAGAATCAAATACATAAATAAATCATAGTTATTCAAACTGAGGAAGGTCAGCAAAGAAGTAAAATTTTAAAACAGCAACAAAAATCATAGCATTGAAAAATAGTTATTCTGCCTCTTACATTCAAGGTACTGAAATATAGAGATAATTTTTCTCCTCTATGTTGGCAAGTATCTATCTTGGAAATGAAATTACTATGTACCCTTGAGAGACAAGTTGCTATAGAAATATAAATAATAAAGTAAGTCTGGGGCTGTTTCCTCTGCTGTGCTTTCTACAGATTTTCCCTGTGTTTTCACGGCTTCTAGAATCAGTTGTATCATATGTTGAGAACATTTCTGACCCAGAGAAAAATCATTATAACCTAATTTTACAGCATTTTGCTTCACAATATCAATAATATTCCCTCCCTAGAAAAATCAGGTGAGATGCATATTTGGACAAGTAAAGCAATCCGATAAATCATTTCCCAGATGAGAAAGAAACCATGTGTGAAATGAAAGTTAGATGTTTTCAAATCCACTTCACTGAAGGCGAGGACACTAATCAATATGCAGAGGTTTTCATAATGAGAGAAATAGTGGCACGAAGGAACGTGCATGTGCGCGGGTCACCCGCCTCCCAGTGCGTTCTGTTCTTGAGTTCCCTGGCAATTGGATTAAAAGGGTCTATCTCAGCTGAATCACCAGCTGCCTTTAAAGGTTGAGGGAAAAAGCAGGTGAACTGGGGTGTCCCCAAACCAACAAATGTCCTCTGGGAACCTCAACCCGTCCATGTTTACAACGATGGTCTAAGATATATTTTTAAATTCTCAATACATCTTTGATGTATATATTCAATATTTATTATATGAATATTATACATTTGTATTTCTACAAGGTGAAACAATCTAATAATAACACCAACTTTTACCTTTCGAGCCTGCATAAAGTAATGTGTTTAAACAAATCTTGTTCTTCAAAGTACTCGCTTTGGAATGTTTCCAAAAATAGCTCTTTGGAATTATTTTCATGAGCTAGTTTTAGAAAGAAAATCATAAAAGAAAATCAATCTGTCAAAATAATCTCCCTCCCCATACACACACACGTGCACACACACACACACACACACACACACATGGATCGATAAACGATAGCTACTGAATGTAGTGTTAGTATATCAATTCCCAAGTATTTAAATACAAAAGTCAGAAGTATTTAAGTAGAAAATTTTTGAAATCCACTTGACTCACGGACAGGAAGCTTTGGATCAAATTTGAAGTTCAGCTGTCACAATGATCGAGGCACTGACATCCTGTACATTTTGATAGTTTTCCTCCATAATTTTGTTTTCCCAGATGGGGATTTTTCATTTCTTTGGTACTTTTTCATAATCTTGCTAAATAGACTATACTGCATGTCATCTAAATTTTATTTAGTAAATAAAGATTTAAATATTTAATATACAATACTTAGAGTAAAACGGGAAACAGGAAAGGTTAATGATTAGTCTGTACTTACATTTCTTCACAAGGGTAACTTGTAATCTTTTCAGTGCTAAGTATTTCCCTTAGTGCTTTTCATTTCTTTCCTCATTTGATTCTCAGATGTCACATAACTCGGACAGTCCCCTGCATCACCTAGAGGAAATTCTGACTCAAAACTAGGCCAAGATACAGTAGAAACTCTGAATGGAATCTTTTTTTTTTTTTTTGTAATTTCTTTGGTAGGTGCATTTTTGGAATACAAAATACACACGGTAAAAATTGTATATATATAAATTAAAATTTTAGTCTGAGCTCAGAACTGGTTCTTATCACTGTGAAATCTGTTTTATTTTTATTCTCTCTATAATGACAGCCCTAAAAACAATAAAGTCCTTTTCTATGCGGTAATGGTTGTTTCAAAGCATTTCTGAAGACTATGAAAGTGCTTAACTGTTTACTTGCTCCTAAGAGACAGTAAATGAATACTGCTGAATGTATGAGTAATGATGTCTTAGAGTGCTGTTTTTCAATGCAATCATTGTAAATCTCATGACTTCCCTACTTCTAATTTGTTCAATGTTTACATCAGGGCAGAGCATGAGAACTGGCCCAGGATTTCACTGAGGGGCAGGAGTGAGCAGAACAGGCCAAACCAGAGGAAAACAGGAGACTACGCTGGGCGCCCACAGCTACCCGGTGGCGGTACCTGGGGCACGTGTTGTCAGCCTGTGGATATCCCTCGGCGGATCCTGGGCACCGCTCTCCCTCGCACAGAAAGCCCTGCTGGGAACCAGAGAGCCAGGATCTGTTGCCTTTCTCCCAAAGCCCCAGCTCAGTGGCACCAGCATTGAAGAAACCTCTACCACATAAAAAGCACACTGAGGATCCACAGCTTTCTTTGAAAAATAATCTTTAGACTTATGCAAATAAATTACCCATGGCTACAGCTTCGTTCTGAATACCACAGAAACCAAGAGTCAGAAAAGTTAACAAGCCTCAGGTCTTACAGTGAGGACATGATGGAAGACAGTTGGAACACAGTTCCTTCCCTTCCATCCACAGACTCCACTATGAAATACTTTCTTCACAAAGTGCGATGATAGTGCCGACTGCAATGTGCGGTTCTGCAAAGTGCAATCTCCTGGAATTCTTGTTCCCTTTAGCACTGAAACAAACCAAGACCTTTTCACGGGTGTGATGACACACTCACTCCTGCTGAACTTCTCTTTGCTTCTCTCCTGTCATGTGTCTGCTGTTCCTAACACGATTTATCATGAACAGAGCTCTGTTCTATTTCCCCTCGGAGCTGTCCTGTAAATTCCTAAGACACAGCTGCAGCATTCCAAACCCTCTGGTATTCAGAACACCTCACGCCCCAACACTACGTTATTTTATAGCTCCTCTCTTAGCCTCTATGTGCAGCGCCTCGAGCTTTTATTGCTTGCTGCGTTTTATGGGTTTCTCCAGGCCATGTATATTCATTGTGTTATAGAAATAATAACATATTAGGCAGTAAAACACTAGGCAGTAATATTTAGGTTGGGTGGTAAATTTTCGAAGGAGTGGGTATGGTTTTCCATGAGAACTAAAGGAAATAGAGGGACTGAGTCTTCAGAGCTCTAAGATGATTAGTGCAGCTGCATTAATGATGTACCCGCTTAGCAGTGGTGATTGTGTTTACAGATCTGTTTACTGAGCAAGAGACCGACTGTATGTCGCTACGGGGGAGCCTGGGCGTCACCACTCACCAGCCGAAGTCTCACTGCAATCCATTACACTTTGATATTTAACACTTAATCACCTTCCAAATGTTAGCACTTCCATTTTTTCCCTCCTCTCTGAAACTTTATACTAGTTACACTCGATTATTTTAAGGAAACTTGATAATTAGTAGACTTCGTTGTAAGAAAAAGAAAGGTTATCTACAAGAGACAAAACACCCTTGCGAATGTGACGGTGTAACGAACGCAATTAGGAAATGTTACTAAACGTCAGGAGAGTACATTGTGCCTGTGGTGCCGCGTGCTCCTGGCTCCTTCTAGGAGGAAGACAGGCAAGCCCCTAGAGGCCCCGCTGAAAGGCTGAAAACGGCATTCCCTTACCTGCTGTTGACCTAATGGTGGAGGTGATGTCAGAGGGTGTCATCATGGGAATACATTCGTCATCTTGGGAGTAGCCGGCTTGAATGGCTCGAAGGTAGCTGTGACTCCTTGTTCGGAAACATCCCGGGAGGTCGAGGGCATCCATGGCCTGAGATTCAACTTCACTGAAGACGGACTCGCACACGGACTCGAACTGCCCATTGATGTCCGCCTCGCTCACCTGCAATCATCAACAGCACATGTGATGCCCCAGCCCTGCAGGGTCACCGTCACATTACAGAAGAGCCAGGAGACAGCACTCATTCCCGGGCTTCCTTTCACTGCCTCGTATTTCAGCCCAGTTAACCTGAAGTCAGCACGGACAACGGCTGAGCTTGGGGAAGAGATCATTGGGTTATCTCTTACAAAACACTTAGGCAAACAGCCAGTTCCAAATGTTGATGAAATTCTGGGGGACCACAAGGCGAACCTTCAAGGTAAGGTTGACAGTTTTTACAAAGTTTAAGAGAGAGAGAGAGGACTTTTAAAAGATTAGCAAAGTACCTGGTACAAAGTAACTGTTTAGAATGCATTTCTTCCTTCCCTTTCCTGCATGACTGCCCCACCTTTCCAAGCTACTAATGGTGTGATGGCTCCGGGCACTGAGGCCGTGTAAAGGAAAAGCCCATTCAGTGCGTACGCTACTCAGTTCTTTTTCAGAATATGGAGTCTGCTTCTACCCATTTCCATGGCAACTCATCACAAATTTGGCTTCTAAACTCATCTCCTTCTCACCATTATGGCAACAATCTGAGTCCAGATGAGAAAGAAATGGCTGTACTGGTGTTTTCGTCCACATGAAACGTGCTACTTTACCTAAATTCCAGGCTTTTTTATTCTTCCTTAGCTTAGGATATTAGTATACTCACTTCTTTTTTCCTTCCTTCCTTCCTTCCTTCCTTCCTTCCTTCCTTCCTTCCTTCCTTCCTTCCTCCCTCCCTCCCTCCCTCCCTCCTCTCTTTCTCTTTCTCCCCTCACCCCCTCCCATTCAGATTATTTCTCTTCTTGTTTCTCCTGGGGATGTGTGAGGGCTCAAAGCACCAACAACTGTCTGAACTCCATGGATTATGTTGGCAGATACATTTTAAAAACATACTGTTTTAAACACCAGATTTGTTCTTTTCCTCTAGTTGTCAGCTGAGTAAAAGGCAAAGTCAAAGAATCAGGTTCTCCCTCTAGTAGTTGTGTTGTTGACACAACACGACGCTCGCTGCCGTCTCCAAGTTCAGACCCGTGGACTTCTCTGGTTTCACCCCGAGGTGACCTACGTGCTGGAAGGACGGCCTCTTTCCTCGTGAGCCTAAGTCAGCACTGACCCTGGACAGGCAGAGGGTGAGCGAAGGGCAGCGAAGCCTGAGGCCGCCCTGCAGGGACGACAGGCTCACGCCAGGCTGCAGAAAGAGCTGGCACAACCCCGGCGGGGCGGCCTTTTCCAGAAAGGTCTGAGGATTCCTGATGCTGGACAGAGACAGACAAACCCAGGCAGGCACAACCAGGACACAGCCGGCAGGACGGCCTCAGGAACCCAGCAGAGTGCTCAGAAACACGCACACTGGCTTGGAAACGGGACGTTTTTCTGGACCATAAATTTCTTCCAATCTAAGTTTTCACTGACGTAGAACTGTATGGAAAAGTCTTAGACTGTGTCACTCCTGTCAAAGATCTATAGTAGACAGTGTGAGAAGGTCCGAATCTATGTGAGGCCCTGGTACGCCTCAGTGGACACCCTTCTGCAAGCCCGGCCCTGGGCCCAGCTGCCCTCGCTCCTAAAGAAGAGACACCGTTAACCTGGTGCGTGCATTTCACAAACAGAAGCCGGCATCTCAGCAAGGACCCTTGGCTGTGCTTCCAGCTACAAAGCCTTTCAATGAGGTTCTAGACATGAAGGTGACTCCTCCTCCCCAAAACAAATAAAAAGTGGTTGAGGAGCATCTCAAGTTGGTCCAGCAGGGAATTAAAATGATCCGTTCACCCAGACCTTCTGCCGAGACTCAGGACACCCAGACCTCCCGCCCAGACACTCAGGACACCCAGACCTCCCGCCGAGACACTCAGGACACCCAGACCTCCCGCCGAGACACTCGGGACACCGGGACCTCCGGCCGAGACTCTCGGAACACAAGCTGCAGGAAACCCAAGCAGAGTCCAGCTACTGTGGTTCCAATGAGGAAACGGCATGGACATAAGCGCCTCTCACAAGACTTCAGTTAGAGTTTTAATTCCTTTTTGTGCTTGAGAAAAAATTGAGTGTTAAAGATGAAGGGCAAATTTTTAACAAACTTTGGTTTGTCACCAAATTCACATCTCCCTAGAGCCCCGAAGTGTTAGAAATTCCAGATGTCCCACCCTCGGTCACGGGAACTGTCCCCCCTCCTTCCAGAATGGTTGGGTCTCATGGCCTAGGGCTGGACAATCAATTAGTGGAAGTTTGTTTCTGGGTGTGACAGTCTCAGTTACTACTAGCGTTCCAGGATTATTTTAAATAACACTATTTTTTCTGAGAATTCAGAACTGAGTCCAATTTCTAGCAATGCCACAGAACTCTGCGTAGGAATGACTTAGAACTCTAAATTTCCAAGTCGTTAAATAAACCCCCAAGCACCCAACTTGTCTGCTTAACCATTGTTTCCAATGTCAATCCTTTCAGATAGAAAAAGATGTGAGAAAATGTTATTTTTACTGACTTATTTTTGTAGATACCATCTTGGGTTCATCAAAAGTAAGATGACGAGAGAACTAGTATATTTAGCTTACATTTACCCCCCAAAAATGGCGACGACTCGCAGAGAGCCTCTGAAAGTTTCATAAAAGTCTTTAAAGAGGTGTGAGATCAATTTAATTGAAACCTGTTTGTGGAAAGCATTAGAGATGAACGTTCATACCTCAGATGGGATAACTTTGCACTTCTGTTTCAACCTTTTGTTGGGTTACATCTGATTTTTAAAGCTGTATTTTGGTGAACCAGGTTACATCAACTGAAACGGAAGGTGCCAGCTTTAAAAGAAGAAAGTCTGCTTTGTCCTCATCTCTGTGTAGCGAGAAAGTTGTTAAAACGTATCACTGACTTTCAGTTACTCTGTTCAGTTAATTCGTGTCTCCCAAAATCATCTCGGACTTTATGCTGATACAGAATGTTTCCTCAATTATTAAAATAATCACAATTATCTAGCTGCTGAGGGTCCGTTGATGTTATTGTCTGCAGGGGGCTGGAGGGCCCACCATTCCCATTTGCCCAGGACTTGAGTGCAGGGTTGGGGATGGTCTTTCCTTGTCATTGGGAAAAAGAGTCAGTGCAATTCCTGCTGCAGATGAGAACTTAATCCCATTTCTGGAAGCAAAGAAGTAACTGGGTAGATAAAAGAGGCGGTAGCCTTCTTGAGTTGTGGACTAGGAAAAACCTTAATAGTTCAGTGGAAAAAGTTCCGAGTACAACTTTCTGATGAGAGAAAATCCTGCACAATGAATAGACTCTACCTCATGAGGAATTTAAAGTCTGTGGCAAAAGAAAAGACTTGTGCTTCCGGAGCCCCAGGGATGCTTCCAAGAGCTCACAGCACGGTCTGCACCTAGGGGGGCTTTTGTGCCCAGAACCATATACTATTACTTATTGTTATCATGGTAATAATAAGCGCTATTGTTTTTGAGTACTCAGTACATGCTGGACTCTTTACCTAATGACATCCAAAATGGACTGCGTACTTATTTTGTCACGCGGTGAACGGCATCATGGGAGGGCACGGAAAGCCCAGGCTAATCCCTACTCCACAGTAAGTCAGAGAAAATGTTCAGTCAGCTCAGGCTCTTAATCCCTACTCCACACTAAGAGAAAATGTTAGGTATACAAACTCACGGTCAACTCAAGCACTGTTTTCCGAGGCATTTAAATGAGTAAGCAATGTGTGTAATTAAAATGATAAAATTTCGATTCTTCTTTACCATATAATATAGGATGATTAGACTGAAGGACACCTGCCCATTTTGTCACTGTGCGTTCTCAGGCCCGTCCACCACAGGTGGGGGAGCAGGGGGACCTCCCTTTCACAGCCCCCGTGTCTCAGGGACCTGATTTTAATACAACCCCTCGTGTGGTGCCCAGGGACCCTTCTCCTGGCCATTGTGCCTGTCCTGAAACCAGCCCTGCCTGGGAGTGGGCCCGACCGGCAGGACTCTGTGAGTGACACCAGGCCCTCCTCTCACAGGACTTTCTGAGCCACAATTCAGAGGACACAGCTGAAAGCCGTGCTGCCAGAGCCTTTCCCCAACCCCCTTTTACTGGAAAAAGAGCCTGGGAAGAAGGAAGACAGCCTGAGAGGCCAGGATGTCCAGCCTTCCGGTCATTGCTTCCTCAGAAAAAATCATTGCAAAATGACACGGAGTGACACATGTCGAAAAGAATAGTAAGTCCGTGAGTCTTTGATCGGTCAGAGCTAATTCCAGGCGGAACCCCCTGCGGCGTGGCCTTGCACAAGCGCTGCTGATGGGAGGGCAGTGCCATTGCCGCCTGCGCACGGGGCCTCTGTGCCAGCCTGGCTTGGGAGACTGGACCCCGGGTGAAGGGCGAAGGGACCCGACCTGGCTCACGCAGCTGGCCTGGCTCAGGGTGCTGACGGCCCTCATGTAGCTCTGGTTCCGGGAGCGGAATTTCGGGGAGTTGTAGTTCGCAGCGGGGTCCAGGCTGTGGCCCACAGGCACGTCGCTTGCAGCTTGCAGGTAGCTTTGGCTACAGGAAAGAAGAAAGGAGAAAAGGCATTCTGTGAGTACCCACCGCAGGGCAGAGATGGGACCGACCATCTAACCCACACCGAGACACGGGAGGCTGGCACCGCAGAATGTGAGATGGGACCGACCATCTAACCCACACCCGAGAGCTGGCACCCACATGGGAGCAGGAGATAAGAGCGATCGTCCAACCCACGAAGAGCTGGCACCACCGCAGAGCAGAGATGAGAAACGATCGTCAACCACGAGGAGGCTGGCACCGCCGTGGGAGATCGCAGGACCAACGCGTCAAACCCACACCGAGAGAATGACACCCACCGCAGGGCAGAGATGGGACCGACCACGTAACCCCACCGAGGCTGGCACCCACCGCAGAGGCAGAGATGGGACCACGACCACGTTAACCACACGAGGCTGGCACCACCGCAGGTATAGAGAGAGGCTGGCACCCACCGCAGGGCAGAGATGGGAACGATCGTCCGACCCACCGAGAGGCCAGCATCACATTTCCAGCGGAATGTGTGTGTCTTTTGATGGGTAACTTTGCCTTATGCAAATATTCTGAGATTCACATTTACGATTGTGAATTTCATCAAAAGTAATAGGGGAGGCTATTTACAAAATTGCCTTTGAAACCTGAGATTTTATGGCCAGGCAGTGAAATTAAGATCATTCCACATTTTTTTTAAAAAAGTGCTGAAAGCACTAGTAACTCCTACAGCATAATAGCAAACTCAGCTCCTGAATTTACGCCAAAAAACTGAGAGTTTCATAAAAATTATTAGCTCTCTGGCAACTTTACGTATTTAAAAAGTAACAGAAAAATACGAGGCTCGCTTTCAGTTTTAACTTATGCAAAGCTGTCCAGGTTATGCAATATCGGCAAATATAATAGCAGTAGGCTGAGTGAAATCCATTTTATTATCATAATGGTCATTTCCTTCCAAACTCCCTTAAAATAAATCAGCATTCTCTGGTCTTCCTTCTTGCCATTTTGTGAAATGTTAAAAGCACGGAAGAACCCTGTGAGCGTTTGGCAGATCAAAGGTCTGGCTTGGCTTACATTTCTGTCTAACTGGACCACTTTCAAGTTTTATTGACAATCTTTCCACAATGCAGTAAAATTCATTTCATTTTATCAAAAGCTGTAGAAATGTGGACAGAAATGATTAATTATTCTTCTTGCCTGTTTTGGATCATAATAGGAACATTAAATATCAGTGCACAAGCAGGTACATAAAAATGTATCTAGATGTTAGGTGGATGATTTTGACTCCAGAGCTGGGCATTAAAGCACGCACTTGCTTTTCAAATTAAACACTTGGTGCAGTTTTTCTCTGATTTACTTCAGTCTTTAAAAATGGAATATCAGAGAAAAAAACTGGACTCCATGAATTCTTATTAAGTGAAGCTTATTCATTATAGATTTAAAGTCATTCTTTCTGCTAAATATTTTTGCTTTAAAAGAAAATATATAACATATTCCTACCTATCTTCCCCTCCCTGACTTAGACCAAAAAAAGGAGAGAGAGAGAGAGAGAGAAGGAAGAAAGGAAGGAAGAGAGAGAGAGAGAGAGAAGGAAGAAAGGAAGGAAGGAAGAGAGAGAGACAGAGAGAGAGAGAAGGAAGAAAGGAAGGAAGGAAGAGAGAGAGAGAGAGAAAGCAAAGGGAGAAAATTAGTTTTGAGCCAATTCTAAATTCACTATGTATGAAGCACATGGTCTTCACGTCGACGCCCGCCGACTCCCGCTGCACCTGGGCAGTGGGATGGGCAGCTCTGCTGCAGATGTGGGGACCTGCACCAGCACCAGCAGGGGCCCTGTCCCCTCCCCTCCTCTGTGGATCCCCCAGGTCGCCTGCCAGTGGTGAACAAACACGGACCCCTGACCTTGGCTGTCACCACCCTGAGTGCACAGGTTCCACAGAGCGGCAATATGTCAACAGTATTCTGAGATATGGTCGCAAGTTTGAGGCTCAGTTTATGGATGCGTGGACTCATTCTGCAAGAGACCACCGCTGGCTTCCTTTGAATGTGTCCACGTGCCTGTGCGTGTTTAACACAGGGTCATGTGCCGGGGATGGAGCCCTGAGCTATGGCGCCCAAGCTGTGTGGCCTCAGGTGGATGCCAAGAGCCCTGACTGAGGCTAACTTGATTCACCTTTGTCTTTGCAGAAACATAAACCTCTTGCATTTCTGCTCTCCTTCTGTGCTTCCTTGAGATTGCTGGTTTCATAGCCTGCATTTCTACCAATCAGCACTTTCTACCAATTACCAGTTTTCTTCCAATACAACAGCCGTCCCTTCTGATTAATACCACCAGTTTGCATTTTTAAATTCTCAAATTGAGGCTGCCTTCTAGACGGAGAAAACCTAAAAGAAGGATTCTCACTCTCTGGATCTGGTGTCTAAACAGCGCGTGGTACGCGAATGAAGGAATCACTTCGAGCCACAGCTCATCACCCTGGCGGTGGCTGCTGGACGGCCCTCACAGGTGGATCAACGTGCTTTGTGAGTCTACGTTCCAAATACGTATTCTCTCAATGATTCTCTTTGTTTCAAAATGGGGTGTGACACGTAAATGTTGCCACTGAAGACAGCTAATAATTTTTTTTCAAAACATGGACTCACAATAGCTAACCTTTTCTAGGCACGATTACGCCAGAGATGCTAATAAGTGTTTTGCATTGTCCTAACACAGTTAATTTTTACATTAGTCCTATAAACCAGGCCTCTTCCCAACCCCTCCTCCTACGAATGCAGCATCAGATGCGCACTGGTGTCAGGTCACCATGCTCCGGTCACACCGGTGCCAGGTCACACGCTCCGGTCACACCGGTGCCAGGTCACCACGCTCCGGTCACACCGGTGCCAGGTCACCACGCTCCGGTCACACCGGTGCCAGGTCACCACGCTCCGGTCACACCGGTGTCAGGTCACACACTGGTGTCAGGTCACACGCTCCGGTCACACTGGTGTCAGGTCACACACTGGTGTCAGGTCACACGCTCCGGTCACACTGGTGTCAGGTCACACACTGGTGTCAGGTCACATGCTCCGGTCACACTGGTGTCAGGTCACACACTGGTGCCAGGTCACACGCACCGGTCACACCGGTGCCAGGTCACACGCTCCAGTCACACCGGTGCCAGGTCGCCTCGCTCCGGTCACACCGGTGCCAGGTCGCCACGCTCCGGTCACACTGGTGCCAGGTCGCCACGCTCTGGTCACACTGGTGCCAGGTCGCCACGCACTGGTCACACTGGTACTAGGTCACACACTGGTCACACTGGTGCCAGGTCACCACGCACTGGTGCCAGGTCAAGCACTCAGGCTTGGGCGGGGTGGGGGCAGCACTCCCCTCTGAGTCCAGGTGGCCTGACTCTGGAATTCATGCTCTAAAATCTCAAGGTCACAGCTGCTGAGTCACAGGACTACGGAGCCCACAAGATCCCATCCTCTGACACAGACATTTTAAAAAGTTAAAAAATAACAAAACCTCAGCCTCATTTGGCTTAAGAGGCTTTTAAAAAAATATTATAATGGCTTAGCATTTTATCATATAGCGTCCCAGAAGGCTAGGTTCCTCACAGTCACAGATCAAAACTCAAGAACTAGGACCGGGGGCGCCGATCGAGATAGGGGGATGCGCCCTCCGGCGGCCCCGCCACGTGACACACGGGGACACCCCCAGCACTGCTTGCTCCACAAAACCCGCCTGGTGCTTCCCCCTGAAAATCCCCCTCAGACATCCCGGGGCATTTTGAAGTTGACTTTCAGCCCCTTTGGTTCTCTCTCCAAGTGGTAAAATTCCTACGGCGTCCCAGGTGCCAGAAACAGAAACATATTTTGCTGTATACACTTAGTAGCTCAGACATTTTTTTTTTATATAGTGAAAAGTTTTCTAGAATAACACAGAAATGTTTTTGTTCTAGTTGTGCCTTTCAGATGTCGCTCCCCTTAGCTTGTCATCCACACACAGGCGAGAGGACAAGCCGTGCAGGTGAATCCACAATCCCGAGAGAACCGCAGGATTCCTGGTATTCAACCTTGTTCTCGCCATGTGCAAATGGTTCCAGAGCTGCTTGCTGAATCCTGGCTCAAAACCTCTTCTGTGACTTAGGTCATTATGAGAAAAAATGTACATAACAAAGGGTATCCCTGAAAGGGCCTCTGACCCCAGCTGTTTAGATCCATCTAAACATGCTTGAAAATACACAGCGTAAACCATCTCCTTTGTTACCTTGGAAAGCAGTAAGGATTCTATGCAGGTTGTGCTAAGGAGACATTTAAGATTTTTTTTTTCCATACTAAATGCGTTCATTTGAAATACAGAGAGCATCTTCTCATTTCTATAAATGGGATCTGACAGGAGAAGCTCCCAAATATAAGAAGTGTTTCTTTCACTGCATTCAACGGAAAACGGAGCACGCTAAACAGCGCTAGTGAAACAGACATTCGTGTGCACATGCGTGTGTGTGCTGTGTGTGCACGTGTGTGTAGTATTCCACCTGCAAAAAGGAAATTCTTAGAACATCTTTCAGCACACATTTCAAATAATATCACAGTGCATGATTGGATTTCAGAAAATGGCTTCTTCCCTGATTATTTCCACATTCAGGGTAAAAAGCGTTCTTGAGCTTCTGTGCCCTTGCAGGAGATGAAGAGGCATGCTTGTTCCCTAACTGCACATTTTTGGGGGAAAACCACATTTGCATCTCACTGTTGGCGCCCACATCTGGGCTGCCCCATGGTTACCCCAACAACCCGTCTCTGGGCTCTTGACTGCAGAGGCTTGGAAGCGCCACACCCTTGCTTGGACACCCTCCTGGTGCTGACGGAGCCTCCGAGGTGGGACCCTGCTCCAGCTGGGGAGTCCATGGAGCACCTGCTCAGTGGCTTCTGAGCAGAGTCCGGCCTTCTCTATGCTGACGACTGCTCTTCCCAGAGCCCGTGGCAGGTGGGGCTGCAGTGGCTGACTCAGGGCCAGCTGAGAGAGCCAG